GAGCATTCCAATTCCAATTCGAAAATGCATTATATCACCATTTATGAGAGGCTGCTTGCACTCCCTGGCACTTTTCGATTATGAAAGACCTCAGAATATGCTCTTTTAACCGAAGAGCCCTATACGTAACAAAAAAACGATGCTTGTGCACAACAATTATCGAAACATGAAATTATCTTTATTTATAAAGAAATGGTCAACTGAATTTGAAACACATGTACCAAAACTGAAAAAGATACTTCCGAAAAGAAGAAGAGAGAAAAAAAGAGATGTCGCCGGAAACTTTAGTCTTTATCTTAATACCTATAATCTATAATGATACCGTAGGAATGAAGTAGAAATGAAACAAGAACAAACTTAAGATCAAATAAATGACATTTGAATACATAGCAATGAAGAAAAACTTGCAAAGCTACATGTCCTGTGGTATTGAGATAGGATCGGTGTTATAGGATCAGTGTTTGTTACCATGTAAAGTAGCATGAGAACTCAATAGAAGATACCAGCGGCAGCCTGAGGACCCTGTTTGTGCGATCAAGCATTGTACCGAAGTAGCAGCCTAAGGCAGAGAGTGGTTAACTTGTAGTTATTATCTATGCTCAGAATTGAAGATTTTATTCAGCATCTTTCTTTTAAAAAAAATATATTCAGCATCCTATTAAGTAGGAAATAGGAAGGGGCATTAACAGCAAGAAGTGCAATGAACTGAAGCATTACCATGAAAAAAGGAAGAGGCATACATCGTATTGTTTAGAGTCTAAACACAAAACACAGGTTTTTGACAGCCTAAGATTTAAAAACAACAATATTTCCAATCGGTAAGTAATGTTTGACACCAAAGTAGGTCATTTTCCTGCACTATATTTGGTAAGAAGCAAGCAACCCTTGGTAGCACCCACGCAAGTTTTTAACTGATTAAGCAATTTATGTATAACATTTTTTTAGAAAACAACCATATGGCAGTAGGACATCAAAAAATATCCTGGAATTGTTAATTGTATAGTGTTCTTGACTCAACCTAGTGCTATATTAAATCTATAAGGAAGGCATGTCTATTATTAGCTGTAAAAATTACAGCATCAAAACTACTGAAATGGCAAGAGTAGAGCATGTAACTCATTAATCTGTTTGCAGTGGGAATTTTGAAGGCCGATAAAATAGATTCAACAATTTTGAATAGTAGACTATGTAAATCTAGCACTAAATTTACTTGATCCTATCAAGTTTATCATTTATTGCAGGCAGAAAAAGTTTTAGGAAACAACCATATCTAGTCTGTAGACAGAGGCTGATTTTTTTTGTCACACCACAAATACCTTAAATAGGTTAGCAAAGCACATTTACGAGAATATATTCATGAATTGACATCTAGCGGGCCTTGAGAAACACCTATATTTGCTATGAATCCTAAATACTCACCAATAGAAGGAGATGTCCAGCAAGGCCAACCGATTGCTTAGACACTGGCAGATAAAATGAGGAGGTAGATGGCGAACTCACACGAGGCTGGATGCCTATGTCTGTTAGGTACGAATTACAAATGAGAATTTGTAATGAGAAGGGAAATGAAGGCCATGTCATGCTATGCTCATAATCAGCATGAGTACAAAGAAAGAAAAGCAGCATTAGTTGGCAGACAAATAATTTCGCAGGGAGGCAAGGCAGCATCAGTTTGAAAAATAAAATAATCAGCCATCCAACAAAGGACCTGGACACTTAAAATAGTACCAGTTTCATTACCATTCTAAAAATGATTTGGAATAATAACTAAGAATATGACGTCGGGAAGCCACAAAAGCAACGTACACAAAGAGAAGGGGGGCACTTTATTCACATGAATTCGTACATATTGAGAACCATGGCCGACTCATACATCCTCAGTGAAAAAGGGAACACCTAAATGAATTGGCAAACCATCTAGGCACCCAACAAAGATCCTGAACATTTAAAATAGTACCAGTTTCATTACCCACTGCAACTTTCAGTAAGCAGTACTATTTATGGGTTGGATCTAAAAAAGAAAAGAATGACAGAAAGGAATCTGTGGAGCACTAACCTGCAACAACGAATCTGTTCTACCATCGGCTAACTATCCTGCAAAAACATGGGCCCAAAAAATTGAGCACTCGATATCATGTACATAATGTTGGTATCTTCAGCAACAACAATCCGATATATAAAATATATTGGTAAGTAAGGCTAGCAATTACCTACAGGCTTCAGTAGGAAAATGAATCACACATTTGATGGCTCAATCAGCACTACAGAGTATAATAATAAGGGATGGCTAGTTCATATTCATTGAAGGTGTAGAAAACTAATTTATCGGTAGTTGTGAGTTTTAAACATTTGGTACTAAACCAATGCATTGCTAGCTTATATATAGATTTGAAATAGAATTTGCAGTTTAGGGAAAATATACCGGACCAATGCGCGGCAAGGTAACAGGTAGTGCCTTCGGCCATATCCCGACTTTGATACGTAGCTTCATTTCTGCAAAAACATTTGTTACCTTAACTCCAAAATTACGAATCTCGAATCTGTGAGGATTCTGAGGCAGACCATGAAGCCCCTATTTATTTAGTAGAGGCAGAAAAATGAAGTTAGCCAGAGGATATTGGATCGTAGGATAAGCACATATTTAATATACCCAGTCAAAACTGAATAGGTATGAAATTGAACCTGAACCCACTAATACAAAATACAAATTCACAGTTCGAACCATAAACTAACGATTTTGTAGGATCAGTACATTTCGAAATCGAACATGAACCCACACAAAAAAAATACGAACTCATAGATCAAACCATGAACTAACCGAATTGATCAACAATTAAATGAACCAATTAAATGAGCGCATCAATACATACTTGGTCGAAGTTATCATCCGCCGACGCCGCACGTATCGCATGATCAGTACATATTGAATACATGTAGGCACAATTGCACAGGTATGAAATGAGGCATGAACCCAGGTAAACAAAATACAAACTCATAGAAGAAACAATAAACTAATCAAATTGGTCAACAACTGAACCAATAGAATGAACGAATCAGTACACACCTGCCCGAAAACAGACATCTAGGGTTTCCTGTAGCACCTGTAGCACACGAGCAGACGGAGCAGAGGGAGAAGGCATTGACGAGCTCCGCGCGCAAGATGTGGGAGAGGGAGGGGGCCGCCGGGCCCCAACCGCGCCGGCTACAGGGGGCCGCTGCCGGCTCGCAGCAGGCGCCAGCTCGAGAGGGAAGGGGAGAAAGGGAGGGAGAGATGGAGATGAGAGGCAGGCGAGAGAGGGCTAGGGAGGAGGAGGATGGTGGGCGCTGTCGTCGCGCTAGCCGCCGCCGTGGACTCTCGTGCCCGGCGTCGCCCCCTGCCCGCGTTGTCGAGGGCGATTTGCAAAAATGGGACTCGAAACATCGGTTGTTTGCAGATTTGACACTGGCCCCACATTCATAGACATAGATGGGCCCACTTATCATCCACCCAAGTGTCGTCATAATCAAGGAGTCAATCTTTCGAGTGTCATTTTTGTAATTTTTTCGTCGGAGAGGGAGAGCGAGAGAGAGCGAAGCGAACACGAGAGAGAGAGGAGGGGAAGAGAAACTTCGTGAAGGAGAAGCCGAAGCTGAGTATATATTTGTTTGGGTGGATTCCGATGAGAAGCGGGAGAAGCGAGAAAGAAGCTGAGAAGAAGCCGGAGAAGGTAAGGTAAAGCAGGAGAATCAGCTTCCGGTAAAATCCGATCAAGAGATCTAGGTGTCGGTTGAGGAGATCGAACGTCGAAGTAATTTGGGGCGACGTGGCATGTGCTTCTGTGCGAGGAGTTGTTGGAGAATATAGGGTTAAAAAATTCTTCGATCGCCTGCGTCACCCAGCGGGACGTGCTGGAATCTCCGTTACGTTTGAGCAGACGTGTGTGGCGACGGATCGAAGCAGGGGAACGCCCGGAGACTGCAAACTGATAGTAGTCCTGATGGACGACTGATTCTTCTCCTCACCAAAACATGAGATGGGGAGCTTCAGCCACCCATGCCAGTCCACTACGCAGCCCCTTTTACCGTAAAATTCTGCATGCTGATTAGTGGAATCACAAATTAATTGCCTCAAGGGTCGGTCAGGAATTCACTAAAGCTGGTGGTAACTTGGCACAAAAGGACAAACTACTAGCAGTATATCAACATGTTCCTTTATTGGCGACAAATGTGAACGTATTACTGCTCATTAGCCATGCAGATAATCTCACTGCGCTAGCTCTAATCGGCCTCGTTTGATGCCGACAAATAACGGGGCAACTTATCAGGTGTAAACCAATAACCTGTGTAAACTTGGAAACTATCCATCATGACCACTAAATGCTGATCTAATAAATAGGGTAAGAGGTGAGATTTTTTTTGCGCTTAAGCCCCCCACCCGCATGCCTTTTTTTTTTTGCGCTTAAGCCTCTTCACCCCATCTATTGGATCAACATCTAGTGATCCTGATAGGTAGTTTTTAAGTTTACACAGATTGATTGATTTGCATATGATATGTTGAAAAAAAAAACAGCACCACTGCACTAGAGACCGGACATCGCCACTCACTGACGCACCGCTCTTTGGTTTGGTACTCTCCTGAGTCTGTTTGTGTAGAAAGAGATGGCCTCAGACGAGGAAACAAAAACGAATCACGAAACAGAAACACGGCTTTTAATTCAAAAAAAAAAAAACGAAACAAAACGAAGCTCCGATATATTGGCTCGCGCAACGCGGTCCCCGCCCTTTTTATCTCAACAACCATTCCCCGTCCTCCTCCCCTTCTTCCTCAACGGACGGACCCCGCGCGACTTCACTTCCTCTCCCCCGTGCGCGGCCTCCCCGTGCGCCAACACCGCGCAACCACCCCCCACCACGCCCGTCGAAAACCCTAAGCACCCGGCACGCCCAGCAAGCACAGTAGCAAGGCGCCGACCGCCGAGGCACAGAGACAGCGCCCGGGGGGTCAATTCGTTCGATCGGCCATGCGGCGGTCAGAGTGGGAGGACCGGTGCAAGCGGCACCCGGAGCACCGGATGTCCAAGGGCGTCTGCCCGTACTGCCTCCGGGACCGCCTCGCGCACCTCTCCGCGTCCTCCTCGGCGACCACCACAACGCGGGCCTCCTCCTCCTCGGCGACGACATCCCCGTACTCCTCCGGCGGCTCGTCGCCGCCGCCGCACCACGCCGCGCTCTCCGCGGACGTCAGCTCCGTCCACGTCGTCGGCGCCGGCTCCTCCTTCGTCGACGTCTCCGCCTTCTCCCAGCCGCTCATGCCGACCTCCGCTAATAAGAAGAAGCCGCCAACGACGACGACGACGACGGCAGGGAGGCAAGACGAGGCGGCGGCGCAACCGGCGAGGGGGAATAGGGCGGAGGTGAAGAGGAAGAAGAGCGGCAAGAAGGAGAAGATCGGGAGGTTCCTGTCCAGGCTCGTCGGGGCAGAGAAGCGGCGGCACGGAGCCAGGGACGGCGACGGCGGCGAACTCTTCCACTCCAAAACCATGAAGGAGAAGACGGCGTCCAAGTGGGTATTCTTCTGAATTCCCTCGTCAGATCAGATGCCAACACCATGCACACACGCTCGATCGGTCGTCGGTGTATAGTTTTTTTCCCCCTTCAAGTACTTTTGTGCTTAAATCTGCAGTTTTAGCATGGTTTCTTCTATTGTGTACACGAGACTAAGCCAAAACCATTGATCATTTTGTACTATTTGGGATTTTTTTGGAAAGGTTATTCGAGAAATCGTGTATGCTTATTTTGTAAAATTAGAAGAAAAAGAAAACAACTATGAAGTGTATATTATGTGGATCTGAATTCTATGTTCCAGTATCCAATAGTGCTTAATTTATATAGTTTGTGCCATGAGAAATTCTTTGGATCCAACCGGTTTTCTTCTTCTGAAACAGTGAATTAGTACCTGATAACCTGTTTTCATCCATTTGAATAGTTTACTGTAATAAACCGGCGATATGAGATATACATATGAACATCATCTGTGGAGTAAGCAAAATCGATGAAGCAAATGGACCGGTGACGGCACAATTGGTCTTGGTCATAGACTCATAACAGAGCCAATTTATTTATTTTCTACTAATTCCTAGCTACAATATGTTGATCAACGTATTTGTTTGGTAATACCATAGCAAACCGCCCCAAATAAGGTTCTCCGAGATTGTCTCTTCTAGGACTACGATTTTATACTCCATCTTCTTCATTTGTTGTTTTTCTCCATCTAGCGTCCTGAATCCTCTGCCTGTCTCTTTTGCTTTTTGAGCTCCTTTGCTGGTGTTACATCATTTTGATGTGAAGCTGGCTTGTCCTGATCCGGAATTGTTTGCTTTTGCCCCGACTCCATCTGCTCATCGTCTTTGGTTGGGCAGGGTAGCTCAACAAAGCAGCTCCATCTGCTGTTGCCGTTGAGGAAACGGGGTTTCCTGGGTCGTTCTAGGATCGAGAGCATTCTTTGCTGTGGCATGCATCGTTGTACGTGGTGTGTACTTTGAGACGAGGGCCTGTACATGGAACGAGAAAAATCGCCACATGCGCGGGCAAATCTCAAAGTTCATTGCACCTATGCACATCACATCGATTAATTTGTAAAGCGCAGGATGAGACTATAAAGGCCTTTAATTTGCCGCCACATTAGTAGCCCACTGCACCTCGATTAGTTTGCAGTTGTCCTTGCTGTGCTCAAGAGCTTGTCTGGATCCCATCTTCTAAACTTTAGAGCTCTAAACTTTAGAGCTAGAGTTTTTAAAAAGATGGTCTACATTTAGTTCTAAAATTAATTTCACATTAAAGCTTTAGATCTTAAAATTAAGCTAAAGTACTATAAGGTTTTTAGAGGTCTAAAGTTTAAACAAGGGAATTCAAATAGGCCTTAAGAAGGAGTGATGGTTTAGACAATATATATTTTACCAAGATGCAGTGGCTTTTGACCACCGTTTATATATACTGGTGTGTAGGGATAAAAAACAGGGACGGATATTTCCCCATATTCTTCCGTCCCGAAAGGGTCAAAACACTATGGGCCTGTTCGCGTGCTTTTAAATCCGGCTTGATCCACTTATTTTTTCATCTGGAACAGTATTTTCCTCTCACAAATTCCTCTAAATTCATTCAAAACCATCAAGATTTCTCCAAATTCCTTCAAGCGAACGGGGCCTATATGGATAGTCCGTATCTAAATCCGAACATTTAATATTCTCCGACCGTATCCGCATGTGAATACTCAAAATCATATTTCTGATATGTATATGAAATAGATATCAATATTCGAATGATGATTCTGAGATCGAAAAAATATAGAATACAATATAGGATATAGGACATAATTTTGGATCACCGGTATCCGTCTTTTTCCGATACGATTTCATCCCTATCGGTGTGCTAGTAAAATTGCTCAGTATATTCTCATGTGACCATTTTAAATAACTTCAACATATCAGTTCTTGTCAACATTTGTTTGCCAAACTTCTATACTTTCAATCGATGGGGAAAACAATTAGGGATATTAAATAACAAATGGAGTTGCCACTTGCCAGCAATGTGTTTTTTTTATAAAAAACATTTATCATTTTTGTCAGCAGAGTTTTTTTATAAGGATTTTAGGAAGAAAATGCAGAGTTGCCAGCCGATGGTTTTTTTTATAAGGGTTTTAGGAAGATGGTTGTGCAGTTTCTAGATAACCAAGTCAGAGTTTGATGAAACAATTGTTCACATACGCAACTCTGCATTCATGACGATACCGGCAGGAATATTTCATACAAACGTATACTGCTTGACCGAAACAAAAACGTACGCTCGGTCAAGGAACAATAATATATTTATTACTATCTGTGGCGAGGGAATGCTTGCCCTTCGTGCAAGCCTCTAAAATAGTACACATGATGACATGAACATCAGAAAAACTGAGTTGACCGTGTGCTCATTATCTGACCAGATTGATTAGAGTTGTGTCGGTGTGAAAAGTAATCAATAAGTAAATATTTATAGTTTTACTGTACGTTGTGATCGGATGTGGTCTAGCACTCAATGACACATGATTTATACTGATTCAGGCAACGTGTCATACGTCCAGTTTCAGTCGGTCGGTGACTTTATTCCTGAGCCCAAGTGCTCGAAGTTTGCTGTGGTGTTACAAACGAGTAGGAATGAGAAAGGGGGTGTTAGAGGGCTGGTCGGACACTAAAGCGGCTGAGAATGACGAGTGCTCTAACGTGCGCTAAGTATTGGAGCGTAGGCTCTGTGTAGTTGTTGAGTTCTAGAGCTGTTAAGCTGATCGTCTAGAGCCAGAGAGCTTTTTAGGAGAGAGCTTATCCCCTTTTATAGGCGAAGGGGATGGCCTTACAAGTTAGAGAAAGAAAGGATGAATACGTGTGCTACCTAGTCTTGTTGTCCACGTTGTCGGGTATGAGACGGTCGTCGGCATCCACAATATTGTTTATGTCCAGACGCATGTGGCAGGCTCTACCGTGTTCACCTGTTACGACAAACGTCGGTGCCTACAATACTGTTTGTGCTCTGACACGTCTAGAAGGTTGTATAGTGTCTGTCTGGCATGGCCTGGTGGCACCGTCCTGCAGGTGCGCAGGGCATAGCAGGGTACGGTCCTCGATATTGCGGTTGACTTAAGCGTCATACCTTATCCGCTCCGCTTGATCCCCGGGCCCTCACCGAGCCGGCGTCCCTGGTCGGTCGTTTCCAGTCGGCCCCGACCATATCGATCGGGGAAGAGCAGCTAGCAGAGGTCCGGCGTATCCCCGGTCGGAGAAGGAGGTCGGAGTCGGACTGTGGTCCCACCTTAACCAGGCCTTCCGGTCAGGGACTGGATCGTTATCCTGACATGTCATTATATATCTGGACCGGCTCGGGAGACGCGCGTTGTCGATACGTCGTTTGTTGAGCCGAGTTTTTACAGGAAAACAGGTTCATTAGGGACCCTAGATTTATGAACCCGACAAGTTAATTGGATGAGCTATTCACGGATACTATACAATATACTGGTAGAAGTACTTGGCAACCGTCACAACCAGCTCGATGACAGAGTACAGAGTACATGGACGCACACCGGCCGCTGAAAGTTGGAAAGTAATAAGTGCAATGAAGCTGGGTAGGTCGCAGCGCAGCCGGCTCAGAGCCTCAGGCTGTCGGCTGCAGGGGTTGCACAACTGAAACTGGGACGTGTCACCACCCACCGGTGTATGTGTATCGGATGTGGACCTGGGAGCTTCCTCACAGCACATGGGATTCCTTCCGTTGACGTGGAAAGCCGGGCGGCCACCGCATGGGCGGCTCTGTGCTCTGTGTTGGCGGACCAAGACCGGTGGCGGGTCAGTGCGTCGCGTCGACCTACATTCCCGTTCCCCAAGCGCTGTGGCTGTGGCTGTGGCTGTGGCTGGGCAGGACACTGGACTTGTGATTGCGAAAACTGCTCGATTTTGCGTGGAGAAAGTCTGCTGCTCTCGCGCAGCAAAGTCTGGCCAGATCGAGGGGAACTGCGGGGCTCGTTCGCGTAGGTTTCCCTCCCTCTGGCGCGGCACCGGGTGGGGGCACCGCACTGGGCAGCGTCCATCGTGGCGCGGCGAGATCTTGGAGGCTATTCTCGTGCGTGTCACCGTGCGTACGTGAAGGAAGTCAGGACGCGGCCACGCGGGAGTCGGGACCCGCCGACCAAATCGGGTCGCCTCATTTAGGCGCAGGACGGCAGGGCAGACCCCATTGATCTCGAGGAGGAAGTATCCTTTTCGGCTCTCGGGCTAACCCGGGACGTGGGCCTTGCGTATATTTTGGGCCTAAAAATTTGGGCTAGGGAGGCTATGCTGACCTGAGCCTGTTCGGGAGGCCGTAAACGATCGTGGATTATTTACTGCTGGTTGGTTTGGTGTGAGAGAAAAACACTGTTCCCAGCTGGAAATTTACGATCGTTTACGAGCAAGCGAACAGGCAGATGCCTGATCTGGCATGGGCCGCTTAAGGTCCAGTTCCGCCTCCTCTCAAAAAAAAAAATCCAGTTCCGCCTATGCAGATGCAGCACACAAGCTGCTTTGGGAGAGCGCGTTCGGACCCCGCAACATGCCCGCCGCTCAGCCCAGCGCGTGCTCGTTCGTGCGGCTCACGCGGCGCACTCACTCCTGTACACTCGCGGGCGTGCGGTCAAACGACCAGTGGGGTGCACCTCCCTCGACTGTTAGTTGGGACCGTCAGCGGTCAAAACAGATCGGCAGAAAAAGGCAACGCTCTAGTAAAGATGGCCAAATGGACCCGGCCCAAAAAAGTACGACACTAGCACGCCTCGGGCACGGGGCTTATAGTGCCGGTGCCAGCACGGGCACGATCTAGGGTCGTGCCTGGGCCGCAGGTCTAGCCCACAGTGCTGGCACGGGCATGGCATGATTATTGGGCCGTCACGATGGCAGCCGATTACACTCTGTCGTTGGATGATCTCAGGAGATTTAGAGCCGTCAGATGTTAGAGTATATATACAGAAGTCCCAAAACATACCTCCCAATTTCCCAATCACTCGCACCCAGCCTCCTAGAATCGTCACACCCACACCGCCGCACGGCATCTCCTCGGTCGCGCCCATCTTCTCTCCTCACGTCACGCGAGTGCGCGACTCTTCCCTCCCACCTGCAGTCCCAAACAACATTTCCTCGGCTCCACCCATCTCCCAACTGCTCACCCTGTTGCTAGTCTGCGACCTGTTGCTCGACCGCGCCATAATGTGCGCCTGCATCTGCTCGCCCTGCTGCGCCCCCTGCGCTCGCCCGCCCCATGGGGACCGCCTGTGCCTGAGGGACCGCTTGTGCCTCATGAAACACTCATAACATGGTGGAGTTGCTGCAACATACGTCTAAAACAGATGAAACATATGCTTGCAACATATGCAACATTCAAATAAAACACTTGCAACATATCTCTAAAAACAACTGAAACATTTGAAACACACACTTGCAACATGCTTCTGAAACACTTGAAAAAACACCTGAAAACCTTTGCAAACATACGCAACATCCAGATAAAACACGTACAACATATGCGTGAAACATATGCAACATCCAGGTAAACACATTTGCAACATACGTCCGAAAACATAGATGAAACATTGGTAACAGACCTTTGCAACATATGTGTACAACCATTGCAACATATACAACATCCCGATGTACTTTTGCACGCTTGCAATATACCTTTGAAACACCTGAAACACTCAAAACATACGTATGCAACATGCTCTTTCATCGCAAACATCTTCTTGTCGCTTCGCAAATGGAGGCTCATCGGCGCGTGGAGGTCACCGGTGTGCTCGCCGACAACGCGAAGCTGGGTGGCGGCGCACAAAAGGCTGGTGTGGGGGCAGCATGAGTGCGCGGTGCGCACAGAGGGCGGGTGGTTGGCGCGTGGAGGTCACCGATGTGCTCGTTGGAGGCGCGGAGCTCGCCGGTAACGCGGAGCTGGGTGGCGCAGCACAGAGTGTCGGGTGGGGGTGGTACGGGTGGCGATGACGTGGAGGGCGGGTGGCGCGTTTCCGCCTCGCATACGCCTTCCACTGCAACGGACATCTCTAGGCTTATGCGAGCCACCTCTTGGTGCCTCCTCGTCTTCACGAGCAGCTATGCCTGAGGATTTGGTTGTGTTGCTTGGGGAAACAAAGCAGAGAAAGGAAAACAAAGCAGAGAAGAACATTAACGTAGTAGAAGCAGATGAGAAAGCGATGAGTGGATGAGAATAAGAGACATGGAAATAAGTAGCAAATAAAAAAAAGGCAAAGTTGTGGTGTACGTCATGCCACGTGTCCGTCCGGAGGGAGTCGTTGACATTGAACGTCCTGTTTGTAGCATTAGCCTTGCTGTATTCTCGAGTGATGGCTAAATCTGAACAACGTAGACTTTCGGGAATTCTAAAATTTGCTAGTGTCTCTTAGCTTGCAAGCAGCCAAGCACTCCATTCTTTGTGCATTTGAGTTGTTGCTGTGATTGCCCTCTTGAAGTTTGTCTTCGGCTCTGGTGAGGTCTCCAGTGAGATTACTCCATAGGTTCGATTCGTGAGTTTTGGATTGAATTATCATCGGTGATTTTCGAGCTAAAAGGGGGCACCAGTGGCCTAGCAGAGGCTGCCAATCTGCCTGGATTCCCATCCAACGGCTGACAGCTTCAAAACTTCGCCGTTTCACCTCGAGCTTGACAGCAGTGTGTTGCACCGAATGTTTTCGTATAGATGTCATAGTTATATATACTAGTAATAATATAGTAATATATACACCACACAAGAATCCAGGAGCACCTCAAGATTAGGAGAGAAAAAAAGAAAGGAACCAGTTGCCACTGCCCTGGTCCCCAGCGGCTATTTGTTAGTGAAGCTCTTCCACCGGAACAAGCTGCCAACCTTACGAAGGACCACCCGTCGCCGGGCGGGCAACCTCGGCATGGACGAGAACACGCCCAAATCACCACTCTTCTGGTCGTCCATCGTACCAAAGATGTCGTACGCCGAACCTTCGTAGGTCTCCGACAGCCGCCGCGGCCGCGTGATTCCAGCCGGCGGCCTTATCTTCGAGTCCGACGGGTACTTCTCCAGCCCCGGCGGTCCTACCCTTACACGCGGCGTCGGGCTCTCCTCCGCGTCCAGCTTTGCAGCCGCGGCGGCGGTGGGGCTCGACGACGTCGCCACGAGCATGCTCTGCAGCTCTTTGACGCTGTCGCGCGCCGCGGCCTCGCTGATCCGGAGGCACTCCAGCTCCTGTTTCGTGCACTTCACGGCGGTGTCCTTGTCGCCGAGCACGCCCTTGAGCAAGGCGTTCTCGCTCCTCGTCTCCTCCAGCGCCTCCTTCGCCACCTTGGTGTCCTTGACCGCCTGCTTCAGGATGTCCCGTAGCTTGGCGACCTCGGCCCGCCAGGAGCGCTGCGACTCCAGGAGCCGCGCGTTCTCGCGCCGCGCCTCGGCGAGCTCGGCCTCCGTCGACTTCATGCACGCCGTGAACCCGGCCTCCTTGCCCCGCCACGTGGTGAACGACTCCTCGGCCTCGGCGCGGAGCCGCGCCGCCTCGTCCGACAGGGCCCGGAGCTTCTCGTCCTTGCGCTTCGCCGACATGTGCAGGCGGTCGGCGTCCAGCCTGGCCGACTCCGCCTCGTGCTGCGCGCGCGCCAGCTGCTGCTTCGTCGTGTGCAGCTCCGCGCTCACCTCCTTGAGCGCCAGCACGAACTCCTCCATTGCCTTCTTGCTCTTCTCCTCCGCCGCCAGCGCCACCCGCAGCTCGCCGTGAACCCTCTGCATGTCGCGGTCGCGCCGGATCCTCGGCGTCGTGGTGAAGGGGCTTCTGTCGGCCTCCAGCCTCTGGACGGTCTCCTGCAGGGACGCGATCTCGAGCTTGGCTTCCTCGAGCGAGATCTTGGTGAGCTCCAGCTGCTTCGTCTGCGTTGCCAGCGAGTCGAGCATCCGTTTCTCGGATTCCCGCGACACATCGAGCTCGGCCTCGAGCGTCTCAATCGCGGTGCGGTCATTGGCCGAAGCCAGCGCCTTCCAGTCGGTCACCTCCAGGACGCGGTGCGCGCGGTCTCGCTCGTCGCGCACCTTGCGCAGCTCGCCCCGAAGCTGGGCGACCTGATGATCCATGTCCCACCGGCTTTCCTGCATCTCTTCCTCGACGGATTGAGCGGTTCTTGAAATGCCGCACGGCGATCGGAACAAGGGATCTTGGACCCTGGAGGGTCGGCGATTGGAAATGCGCTAAAATTTGAGGCATTCCGAGGAAGCAGAGGATAAAAGGGGGACGTCGTCGCATGCATGCGTGGATTTGCAGGTTTTGCTAAACCTGTGGTGTAGAATGCCAGTCTAAACTTGGAGCGAATGATAAGTTTATCTGCAATCCTGCCTGAACTTGTGGCTCCAGCTATATTTTGTACATAAGCACTACTACTATATTTGGAGCAATTGATCTTCACGTGTGCTACACGCCTCATAGAACTAGGGATGTCAATAGGCCCTGATATCCTATTCCTCGCGGTGAATTCCTCTATTAGGAATAGGGACAGATCAATTCTTCCCCACGAGGATTTAAACGGGGAAAACACATCCCAATGGGCACGTGGGGATGGGGATAATTCTTTGTCCCTCGTCCTGCTCCCAGCATCCCCGCCCAGTTTTCATATATGCACTTATATATCACTAGAATTTAATGATGGAATATATGTATATGTTGCAATTCGACAATTTTACACTTATGTTAAAAATCATTAATTACTTTTATGTTGAATATGACTTACCATAAATATTCCGGGAGCATCAATGCGGGGAGGGATCCCCATGGGGGATTATTCTCCACGTGGGGATGGGAATAGGGACCAAAACTCCTCTATGAGCTTTCGCTGGGATGGGAATGGAGATTTTTCCTCCCTGTAGGGATGGGGATGAGGAGCCATTCTTCCCGTCTCCGTTGTCATCTCTACATGTCTACTCCTAAAAAGAGCAAACCGGACCCGTTCATTACCCGTGGTGAAGCCACTTTGAATTTTGCGCCGCACTCCAAGCCCCTCTCCGCACGACCCCGCCCCCAATCTCCCCTGCCTCCGCACGATCACAACCGTCTCCTCAGCCCCGCGTTGCCGGCACTCTGCCTCATCCCCCGTGCTCCCCGTCCCGTAAGGCCGCCCACCGGCCCCTGCTCCACTCTGCCCCTATCTTGCCCAGCCATTGCCCTACTCCACCACGTCATTGGGCTGCCCAACCGCCCTACCTGCAATCCCCCAGTCGCTGCTCCCTCTCCCACTAAAAGGATCTAGCAAGTGGCCTAGAGGGGGGTGAATAGGTCTCTTTCTGAAATTTAATCAACTTCACGAAACCAGTTAGAACGCGGAACCTTCGGGCCAGAGCATGGAGGTTCCGGGGGCTAAGCGTGGAACCTCCGGGATCAGAGTAAGAAATCGATCTACTGTGGAATTTAACAAATGAAAATAGATCGAATGTAATACCAGCCTTCCTGGTAAGTGTGTTGAGCTATCCAAACAATTGGTTGCACCTAGAGGATGAGGGATTCGTAGATCAAATGCAAACCCTAAAAATCAATTCAAATCACAAGTAATAGCAACAACAACAACAATCACAGAGGACACGAGGATTTATTCCGTGGTTCAACTCGCCACAAAGGCTTGTCTATGTCCACGTTGTTGAGGTTAGCCACAAAGGCTATGGAGTCTCTTTCCACTAGCTCCTCTTCTCCAATCTATCGCCAAGGCAATAGACTGGAGGGTTTCACTAAGTCACAAAGGGTAATACAAACGTCCCGGTGCTCAACCACAGCGAATTGGGAGCTACCGGGCGACCACTAGCCATCTAGGAGCCAAGCTTCAAGAGTAACGAACACACCAAACGGTTAGGGCTTCACCAAGTGCACAAGAACATAGATGAATGATCTTCTCGAGCTTTCTCACACTCTCTAGAGCCAAATCCCTCAAGGAATCACAAAGATTTGAGCAAAGGAGTTTGGAGCACCAAGCTTAGGAGAGAGAGAGAGAGCTTCTGTTCATCAGGAATGAAGGAATGGAGATGATGACCGTTGGGGGCGAAGGTGTATGGTATAAATACCACCCACGTCGCCCACAAAACGATCGGGTCTGATAGATCCTGGAGCCTCCACGTCTGGGCACGGAGGATCCCCGCCAGAGCGTGAAGGTTCCACGCAGGCCAGAGCAGATAAGAATTCAGCTCGGCTGGCTTTTTGTGGCTGGGCTTATTTGAGATGTAGATGGAGTTTTGAGCACTTGGTTCCACCCAGCACACTATTACCTTGATAGTACGGCTTGTCCTATGACTCAATTTCAAAATATAAAATGAATTAAACTAGCTCTTGGAGCCGTTGCAAGCCATCCATTCGAGTTGGGGGGTCTCCTTCTTTGTTTCTTTGCATCCACGATTAAAGATATGCTGTTAGACACTTGTCAAAGCCATTAGTCCTTTAATTATGTGGTCAACATCACCAAAACCCACAAAGAGCTTGATTGCACTTACACCCACTCTAGATCTGCAATGTCGGCCTCGAGACATCGAGAGCGCTGAGGTGGAGGCCGATTCTCCTGATGGCCTCATGGAGAAGAAGACCTAGCCGGCCAAGGGCATGTGGCACCGCCATGCCCTGCTAAGGGTAGTGCTGTCGCAATGGCTTTGACATGCAGGGAGAACAACCCGCCCTTCTCTCAATGAGTCAATCCCATCGGTTCCAGGGTCTCCTCACCTTCGCCATCGTGCTTGACCTGCCCACCGGTGCCCAGGAACGAGTTTCTTCCTCTTTGTGGCTAGATCATGTAGTACCCGATTTTAAGAACAAAACCAGATACACACCATATGTGAGTCTAGAAAGTCAAATCTCACATATAGCTATAAATAAGGGTAATATCGAAAGATAATGCTCAATATATAATATACTTAGTATAAAGGATATAACATTAGACAGCAAACAGCGGAAAGACAACTCCGATCTTCGGGTGAAGACTCCAATTCCACAGGGACAACTGACTGGTTGATCACAAGCCTAATTCCTCCAAACTCTAGCAATCTAGTACCCATCCGGGATTTTTCCAAAGATTTTAAAAAATAAAGCAAGTGTAAGTACATGTCGTACTCAACAAATATAACATGTGGTTCATGAGGCATAAAAGGCTGACACTGGTTTAACTGCGATTAGCTTTTAATGAGTCATCTTTTAGCAATTGGGTGGCAACAAGTTTATTCACAAGCCCATATAAACACATGATCAGGTAAACATGAATAATGAATAGCATAAATAATTAACCATTAATGAGCATCTTTATCATCAGTATCATCAGTGTTCATCATCTATTCTGTAAGGGTCCAAGGCCGCTCGTGACCGTGAGCATGGCTGATATACCAATTTTACACCCTGCAGAGGTTGTACACTTTCACTATGAGTAGTGATTTACCCTTTCGCCCAAGGTGGCCAACTTCTTGACCCACTACCAAGGAAGGTCGGTAGGGTTCACTATGAAGCCTTTTAAAGGTTCGTCTAACAAGTTTGGGCCATTAGATTCACTCGGCAAATAGATATAGGAACTTCCCTATCGAATGACACAATTCCATCATGGCTATACACATAAGAGTAGAGGTTGTCCTATACACTATTTGCCAAGCCATTCTTACGCCATAAAGGTAATCTCTAACAAGCTAGAAAAGGTCATCATACTAAGCTAAAGCCAGAGCCATGTAGCCCTCACAGTTGTACTGTAAGTTCCGGATGTTCGCTTATAGATAAATCCTTAGGGAGAGGAATCTAGAGCACCATAAAAATAGGCCAATGCAATAGCCCCCTTGTTCCATGTTGCTAAAAAGCATATTTTAGTTTTTATTGCATATTCCATTAGTCAAGTTACAAGATCATGGCTTTAGTTTGATCACTAGCATCATACTGCCCAATGCAACACCCCATAGGTAATAAGGATTCCAGGATATCAAATAGCTAGGAAAGTTACTACGATTGCCAAGGTAGACACATGCATATGATTAAAATGGTATTAAGGTGAACAGGACAGCAAGGAAGATCCCATACTATACTTTCCTTAAAACTCTGATCTTCTTCTACTGAATTGTAACCTCCAAAGGACTTCTTCTGTATCACCAACTTCTTCTATGTCACCAACGTACTTCTCACCGACTGGACATGATCATAGAACACCACACAAGCATCCATGCAATCATACACGAAGCAAACAATAGAGCTAAATCAGAATAGTACACCAAACAATAAAAATGTTTGAAAACTAATCTACGCATTGCTACGAGCACACTGACGTAAAAAGCATGTTAATCGGAGATATAACAAAAAAGTTATGAATTAAATAAGATTTCCTTTAATAAAATAATAGATTAAATCTAACCTCGAATTTCAAAAGTTGAAAACATGTTTAACATTAGTATGAACTTGTAGATTATGTAATTACGAATCTAACGCAACTTAAACGGATCAAATCAGAGGTAAAATAGAGATTTTATGGCTAAAACAAGATCAGTGGCACTTCTGTAAATAGCTGGAACTTGATTTTAGAATTGAAATTAATAAAATTGGATTTTAATCTGAGCTAGGGACGGTGGGTTCTATTACGCAAAACTGTAGGGGCTCTTTTAAAATATTGCCGGCCGAAGGGGTACTGGCCAATCTCGGCCGTTGGATCAAGATTGAACGGCTAGTAATAGATCAGAGAGAGAGAGAGAGAGAGGGACCGGCGTGGCCGGCGTCAAGCTTGGCGGCAGCGCCATTGATGGCGACGAGTGGTGCAAGGGGAACACAGCCTACGGGCCTCGATTCGAAGTGAGAAAAGCACCGGGAGAACGAGGGGAGCACAACGAACTCACCATGGGGCTTTCTTGCGGTCGACGGCGAGCTACGGCGTCGGGCAGCGCGGCAAGGCGGACGGCGGACGACGACTAGGGTTGTGGCTCAGCGCGGCGACTCGATGAGATAGGATCTTGCTTTGAGGCTCGGGATGGAGGTGGCACGGTGCGAGGAGTCGGTATTTAAGTCCGTGGAGACGTGTAACGCACGGCAAGGAGGAGTCATGGCATTGGCGGACACCAATGCGGCGGCAGAGTCTGGCTCGGTGACGTCACAGGGAGGAAGAAGGCGACTG